ATTATTGTCAAAATTATTACTAAGTTTGCTGCTTTGAAAAAATATTTAAATGACAGTAAATTAAACAGTAGTAATACAATTTATTTCCTAATTTATTTTTCGATTATGTTATGTAGTCTCCTGAAGGTATTAAATGACAGTATAGCCAATATTTACTGTAACATCTTTTTTGTTATGAACATTGAAATTTTAAAATGTTGTCTTTGCTAGAAGCGTTCTTAATAATATATGACTACCACTGTATATATATTATATCCTTCAGCTGAATCAATACCAGAACACTGCAGCTAATATTTCCTGGAAGACGCACCCGCAGCTTAGGAATTGGAGCACCGCGCATGCGTACTGGTGTGGCGTGTGTCGTATTGCACTTTGCCGGGGAATAATTTATACCGATTGGCTACACAGTCCGCGGAACGTTGATTGGACAATCCAATCGCAACCTGCCCCCCACAACCCACCCTTTAGCCAGCTACCTTGGTTTACTATACTTTTTGGTATACCTGTAAGGTTCGTTTTCGATTCCCCCTCCATAGGGTGGGAAAGGACGAGGAGGTTGATATGTACAATTTACATAAAGGAAATGCGTTATTTAGCTTTATGTTAACAAATACTTTGAAGCCATGAAAGCGCCATGTAATCTAACTTTAATAATAGGTTCAATATTTAATGAAGAATTCTGCGTTTTTATAATCGACTCTAAGAAAAGTTTATTACTAAGGTCCACTTGCAACATTTTTGATAAATCTAGATTTAACTGCAACTAGATTTAACCTATTAAAAAATGTCGAAACGTCTATGCCAAATTACCACTACTTTATGCGCTAAATCTAGTATTACTCAAATTGAGATTTAGCGAGTGGGCCCAAAAGTATGAGAGGCTCTGTTATCGAGAGATACGGTAGAAAATCATACAATAAAACGCAAAATATTTTTTTTTTCTCTCTTTTTTTTATCTCTGAAAAAATGGAAATTGAATTTCACTATTTATTTGGACATTGCCAAAGATATTCATAATACTACTTAAGAATGATGAAAGTAGCGCACTCTATCAAATGCGAAGTGTACTGCTTGCTTAGTGAAAGCGGGCGGAAAGTCTCTTGTACTTGGTCTGATTCCGATGTCTGTGCAAGGTGCTTCACAAGTTATAGCACGAGTAATTAAGAAAAGCATTGCATTAAGGACCTAAACATTTAAAAACATTAAATAAATAAAACTAGTTTTTACGGGTTAATGCACGAAACTTTATTTATTTATTGACGTTTCCTGTAAAGGCTACGAAACGTCAATAAATAAATAAAGTTTCCTGCATTAACCCGTAAAAAAACTAGTTTTATTTAATGAGTGATGTGCGTGAAAACCTAAGAAACAAATATATTAAATAAAATCATATATGTACAGTGGGTAGTGGAGGATATAAATTTTATTACGTATCCAAACCAAATACTATCTAGAAATTAATTGATAATGCATAAAAACAATGCGAAAAACCATGTCAGTGTGTATAATACACTATCTCACTTGAACTAGTTGTTCTCAACGCCCGCGTTCGTGAGTGGCGCTAGTGTAGATCTCACGTGCTTACAGAATAAGAATTAAAGTCACAAATCGCGGTGAAAAGTGACTTTGATCTTACAGAATAGCATTGCTGTACATCGTTAAGGTTTCCAAGGCCTCATGGGGTAGGGGATGGACGTTGCAACAGGATCATTCATTCATTTAAAATTATCCAGAAAGTTAGCTTCCGCCATTGTTGAAAATAATTATCTTAATGTACCGCTATTAATCTATACTTATAATAAATCTGTAGAGAGGTCAATTCTGTACATGAAATATATTTTCAAAATAACTATCAGGGGGTGATTAGTGATCGATACTGATGCCAAAAATGCTATCAGTAAAATTTTTGTCTGTCTGTCTGTCCGTCTGTCTGTGTGTATGTTCCTTATAGAAACAAAAACTACTCGACGGATTTTAACGAAACTTGGTACAATTATTCTTCATACTCCTGGGCAGGTTATAGTATACTTTTCATCACGCTACAATCAATAGCAGCAGAGTAGTGAAGGGAAATGTTGGGAAAACGGGAGAAGTTACTCCAATTTTTATGCTTCCGTCGCGTGTGCAGCCTTAATGGTTAAAGTTACATAGAAATCATGTATGACGGAAATATTCTACATAAAATTGTCTAAAAAATATCCTGCAACAGCATATGTCTTTCTTTTATGGTTGACTCACAATAACACGTGTAATTATATAAATAAAGTCATTGTTTATAGCACAAGCCTGAGAACAAAAACTATAGTTTACACTACAGCTCTACACCGAAGCGAAGCGAGGGCGGGCCACTAGTTTTTTTAATATACCTGTAAAAGACTATGTATGGCGCCCGTACAACGGAGCGTGCGGTAAAAAAAATGCGAAATTTAGGTAATTGCCCGACTTGCATTCAGTCGGGCAAGCTCTCTCGCCGCGGCTACACTTCGCTACGTGTAAAATATTTTATGTTTTTCCAAAAAGCCCTATTTGTGTCATGTTTGTAACAGCAATGACTTTTCGTTCTTTTTTGACTCTCTCGTCGAGACTGTTACGTTTGTTCATTGTATGACAAATGGCATTTCGGTGATATGAACAAAACACGGGATAATTAGTCTAAGCTTATTCCTCATTTATTAAAAAAGGGGGCAAAAACTTTAATTGGTTGATGATAATAAATTTGAGCATTGGAATACTTAGAAAGACCTAAATAAGTTACGATTTAAATAAAAAAAACTACGCCAATTACTTTGGCTTGAAGACGTCGGTGATTGGCTGAATTTTAATCTGAAATCGGGTAGAAACTTCGTAGGACAAGTTACTCAGTACTAGCATAGGGATAGGAATGTGAACCTTATTACTAAATCAATAGTGATCTGTTTAAGGTGCGACTCCGGCGATCGCTGCGCTGGTTATATATATAGGAAAGTGAACCTTATTTCTGAAGCAACAGTAACCTGTTTAGAGTGACTCCAGTGGTCGCTGCGGCGGCGGATTGCGCTCGGGCATAGTTTAAGGAAAATTAACCTTTTTTCTAATGCATTAGTGACCTGTTTAGGGTGCGATCTCGAACTCCGCTTGGGCATAGGGATAGGAAAGTGAACCATATTAGTAAAGCAATAGTGACCTGTTTAGGGTGCGTTCCCGGCGGTCGCGGTCGCTGCGGCGGCGGACTCCGCTCGGGCGCGGCGCCTTCGTCCCGCTCTTCGCTGAGCAAGCGCCTTCTGACGCCCCAGTTGAAGTTGTCTGAACTCTCGCCCTATGGAAATATTAAACATAATAAGTGCCTATACGTTTATTAATGTCAACAAAAGATACAATAATAATTACAAAATAAATGTTTCATTGTATTCGCCTGTGCGGGGCACGGTCCCCAGAATACTGGCTGCGTTGCCTCGCTGTATCGCCAAACTAATCCGTTGAGCAAAAAAGCTACCAGATCTTGGATCGCCCGTAGTCTCACACAGGCGAGCATTCATATCCTTAAGAAATAATTTTGCAGCATTTGTCTGCATGTAGAATATTCGGAACATGTTTTTTTTTTAATTTAATTATTAAATGGTAGAAAATTTAAGTTCACACATATTGAGGTCTCTTAGGATCTCAGCCCCCTTATCCTGGTGAGGCAGTAAAGGTCATCTGTGACCAACAAAATACAGAGAAAAAAATTGGGAAAGCGACGTGCGGGGTTCACAAACACAATAAACCCTCCGCCGCGCACTTAAATTTTTTCACTAAGGTCAATCAAGTAATATAATATCACTAAACTTGAACCGTATTTCAATTATATTCCTAGTAAGATAGTTATTAATAACTATGTTACGGTATATAATTACATCCCTAGGGATGTAAATATATTACGGCTTTATCTATCATACTGCCACACATATTATAATAAAAATCTTCTAATTACAGTTTAACCCCATTTGAAATCACGTTAACTTCATTCACCCTGAAATTCTTGAAACACGATAAAATTATGATTCCTTTTCAGGTCTGCATCGTCAGAATAATGATAATATATAATAAAATAATATGAGAATAATAATAATGAAAAGGCTGAAACGTCAATAAATAAATAATTTTCGTGCATTAACCCGTTAAAACTAGTTTTATTTAACACAATACATCACTAACCTATTTTCTTATAACACATACTCGTAAGTCAATAAACTGTTTACACGTATAATAAAGACATACATTTTATCGACCCGTTTCCTATGCTGGCACAATATACAGTGTCAAACTGCGACCTCGGCACAAAAGGTATTAGCCGCGTCTGTTACCCATGTAAAGGTTGCCTGGGAAAGTAATCAGCTGTTGTATTCAGTTCCTATTCACGAGCTCTCAATCAAATCAATAAGTACACATGCAAGACTTAACGTCACGTAATATCCCTTGAGGGTTGCATTAGTATCAAGGGTGCAACCTTGAGTCAATATTCAGCACTTTATTACAAAATATGATGCACGATTACAGCAATATAAATATATTTATTATATGCAGCATATCAAGTGCAAATATTTGATAGCATATTTTTTTTTCTCAATTCATCAGCCAATGTTTAAATAAAACGAAATAATAAGAAATTATATGTAAGCATTACTCTTACAAAGGATGATAAAACGTGTTTGCAAACTCATACAATAAAACTCAACACTATCGCGACAAGCACACAGAAAAAAGAAAATACTTTGACAAATCAAATATTGCAGATATTAAGACAAATTCGGCTTTCCATTGATTCGGTAAGATAACGTTAAACTGAAATTCCAACCAATCCCATATTTGGCGTGCTGATCGCATTTTTTTGCCCCGCCCACTTGATCGCAGTTTGCGTAGAACCACTTTTTAGCGCAGTTCGTATTCCGTATTACCTATTTCTTATTCGTTGCTTAACACTTACCTCTATGCTTTCACTCTCGTACTCCAGGAAGTCGAAGTCCTTGAACACTCCGAAGTGGTCAGTGGGTGGGGCGGCAGTAGGCAGTTCGTTGCCGGGCGTGCCCGACACCTCTTCCAGTGAAGAGGCCATCGAGGACTCCCGCTCCAACAGTTCTGAACTCTGGCTGAAGATTACCTATGACACATAACAATAAGAGTTATAGTTGCCTAACCACAATTAATTGTGTTCATTTGCACATTGTGCACGTTGCTTGCTCGTTGGATACGTCAAAATGTTACTTAAAGGTTTGAGATCAAAATTAATACATAACGTGAGTTGCACCAATTTACTTCAACTGCTCTGTTACAGTACCGGTTAGGTGAAAAATGGTTTGCTCCATTTGATGATAGTCAAAATCAGGTCATAATTTGACAGTGACATTAACAGCCCAAGCGAGGTCAGTTAAAGGTATAAGTTTAACTAGCTCTTTGGTGCAATTCACACTTAATAATGTTGGTTTATTTTCTTTATAACCCTCAAATCATTTATAAAAAAAGTTAATATACATTCATTAATAATAACCTATTATTATTATATTAATAAAAGGGATTTTTTGACGTAAGGCATACATCTTGACGATTATTCTATATTTAATTCAGAATTAACTTCAATACCAATGTAGTCTTAATTATAAAACGTGGTAGCAAGATTTAATTCAAATATAAACTATATTTCTAAATTCACACAAAAACTTTAATCAAATATAGATTTTAAATTTAAATAACTAAAAATATGGGTCACCCATGTTTCTTGTTGCATGTAACTATAAAAGTGTGTCTTTTCTTTTATTTAAGTAAGAAAATAAGTGATTTTCTTACTTACCAAATATTATAATACAATTTATGCGACTAGAAGTTTTCGGTCAATACAGTGGTAAAAAAACAATAATTACTTTAATGAAAGGGTTTCAAACAATTGATACAATGAAGAAGAAGTTTACTAGCTCAGTTAAATAGATGGTGTTTAAAATATTCATAAAGATATCAAGTTATTCCTGAGGTTGCATTGAAAATTATTCACAACAATGAAAATAAAGAATAAAATTCTTAACAGATGAACTATCATCTGTTTGATCCTTCTGGGACAAAAGACTATTTTACCTTAAATCTTGATTTACATTACACAAACATATGTCCATTTATTTTTGTCAACTTCAAACCAATATTAAATACATATTATATAAATAAGTTAATATTAACAGGAGTATGTGGGTTCCAATAAGCAGTGACTGCATTACGTGTATTTTCTTTTATATAAAAATAACGGGATGCCATGTGATTTAAAAATATATGAAAACATTAGATACATATTCTGCGTGATTCTCGTTGAAATTTTATAAAGATAAATATATTGTAAGTGCGTCCATGTTCCATAATATTTCAAATAATATATTGCCTACATTAATGCGTGTACCTACTGGTTTATTAATGCATAGTGCTCTCCGGTAGAATCTAGCCGTTGGTTGCAAATAATCTTGTATCGTAGATGGCGCTGAGCGAACCATGACAAGCGTTAGCTAACGTAATGGGATCGCCTGTATCCGTTGCATGAACTATAGCCCAAGCATTAGAGTGAAGGCAATTAACAAAATTTTGCCACAGTCTAGCTTTTTTTTACAGATGTTAGGGTAGGTCGTTAGAAGCTCAAGTTTAAAAATCGGGGAATGTAGGGTGGTACCAACTGGCTGCCATATTGGAAAACACGTTTATCATTATATCTCCAAATTATCGACTTTACGAAATAAATGTGTTTATTACTAAATTCCCTAACTTTTTTTGTCTAAAGCTTTTTATTGTAACTCTTACCGTTTTTCAATTATTGTTGTTTATTTGAACATGTTTGTATTTTTTACCTTTAATCAACCTTAAAAATGACATTAATTGATAAAAAACGTCTTTAAAGAGTCATTAAATTCCCTACAACTTACTTTTTATGATTTAAATACTTTTAAAGTTATGAGTCATTAACGTATCAATTACGCAATATCCCAGAGATTTGTACACGTTTTTTTTTAAATGACATTGATTGATAAAAAAACGTCTTATAAAAGTTATTCGTCATTAAATTCCCTACAGCTTTTTTATATTTCTTTTATTAAATAAATACTTTTAAAGTTATAGAGTCGTTAACGTAGCAATGACGGAGTAAGTATCTCACAGATTTATACACATTTTTTAACGTGTCATAACTCTCCAATGTGGCAGCCAAGCGTGACCACCCTACATACATCGATTTTTAAATTTAAGCTTAAGGGATACCCACCCTAACGTCTGTAAAAAAAACAGTGCGGCGAAATTTTGCATTACGATCAAGTATAACCGCGATCTCTGTTTCTTGGACTACTATGGATTGTACTTAAGATTGTGATCATTTCATTGCACAGACTTATAGTATTCTATGTGCCCAAAGAACAATATAAAAACGGTTCAGTATTTATCAACTAATCCAGGTTGTCCTCTTTAATGTAGAATAAACAAAGAATGTACAGTCAGATGCTTTTATTTGGGATCCATTTCGTTGAAATGTGTTTTGAACATTCACACTGCAATAAGGTCGAAATATCCAGATGAATATGGCGTTGAAACGTCACGTTTAAAACCGTTATTTTATATATATGTATTTGTGATTACTAATAAAAATTAAAGCAATTTCTAATTTAACAGTTTTAAACACGTCAAGTTAAAATCTTTTCGTAAGTACTGAAATTTTTGAATATGAACCTCCTTTGTAAGCGTATCATTTCGTTTTTATTTTTTTTTCATTCTGATCAATATGAGATTGTCGCACAAGGAAATAATAATATTATTTTTGATTGTATAACACCACAAAGGACACAAAAAAAGATTACACTGACAGAGAGAAATTATATAATGGGCGGCCTTATTGCTAAATAGCAATCTCTTCCAGGCAACCCATAATGGAAATGTAATAAGTTTATAAGAACAAAAAAGGGGGTAGGGTGTAAAAGCAATATTATAAAAAAAAGATATGTATTCAAATTCAATAACTTATTTATTAATTTTATTATATAAATTATTTTTAATGAATGATACCAATTAACATTAGCAGAAAGAACAATGGGTAAGTAAAATAGTAAGTTGATTGATTGGGAATATCCGTACGTTGTTCGGGTCCGTAAGAATGACGCGTAATCTGAGCATTGTCTCTTCTCACATAACATATATAGTACTTAATACGTTGTTACAGCAACGTTTTCAGTAATAAAATCAGCTCTTATGATGTCTGTTTGCTGTCCGATATTCTACCTTAGGGGTCATCCATAAATTACGTCACACGAATTTCATGTCTTTTTTGCCCCTCCCCCCGTCCTTGTCACAGCTGGTCACATTTGTAAGACTCCCCCCCTCCCTAGTGTGACGTCACATATTTTGCAAATTTACATTTAGAAATCATTGAATGAAAACAGCAGTTCTGTAATCAGTTTTATTTCCATTTAAATTGTTTTTTCATTATTATTATATTCAAATCAAACAATTAACAAAACAAAAAAAATACCGAACAAAAAGTGATTGACTATGTTAATTAAAGAAATTAACAAAACATAAAATATTAATAGCATTATAATTAAATTAAAGATACAAACTTAATAATCTTGAGTCCATGGACATTGATCCCACTCCTTTAAATTATTTATAACTGGCATAGCACCACTTTGTTCTCGTTTGGGTTATTAATGCTTTCGTAAAGTAATAGTTTCAACACTTAGATTTTAATATATTTTGAAATGTGACGTCACGAAATTTAGGACCCCTCCCACCCCTTGTCACACGATGTCACATTTCGTCGACCCCCTCCCTACCCCTTAAAGTGTGACGTAATTTATGGATGGCCCCTTAGGTGGATCCCTAATTAAAGAACGTGACTGTACTTGTCACAAGTTAATAATTTTCAGTTTATTTTAAATTGTGGGTTACTAGTTTTGTTTTTAATATATGAATACTGGTCTTTAAGGCAGATATTCTTTAGACATAATTGGATATTTGTAAAACACAGTGAATCAGAATTATGGTTGAAATAGACACGTAGAATAAACATTTGAAGCATACACGATACGGACACAGGCGGTGATGGCGGCGGTTTATAACCGGGCTGCCACACACGTATCCCACCGAGGTACCTAAAACTACCGCTAGATGGCACTAGTTGTCTGTCCATTTTGCATCCGTACAATGGAAATATGTACTGATACAGTGCGGAATCTACTAACGTTTATCAACTGATCTAATATAAGTGTTGTTTTGTTATTAGTTTGGTTATGTGAACGTGCAAGCATTCATTGCATCTTCGATTTATTTACTCTGTCAATAAGGTGCAAATGTCTTGGCCATGATGAGTACTTACGTGTAAAAGCATTCAATATTTTCAACTATTTTTGACGTCTAGTAAAAAGTTTGAAAAATATAGTTATGTGACTAAAGTTTGTGTTATTTTTATTGAAATCGTGGGACGTAATGGTGGCAGCACGGCTTGTGAGTGATGTGAGTGTGCGTGGAAGCGTTGCGACATATACATATGTATGCGAGTTACCTTAGAACATAAAGTGGTTATTAAATCGTCCTAGTTGCAGCGATGCATGGAAATTATTTTCATTATTCTCTGGTCATTTTGCGAGTTCGTTATGGAACCCTCGATAATATACAAATTAGCCGGTAAAATATGTATGTAGTTAATGCAATTAAAACAGTATAGAACCGAGAAAGTTGTGTTTAGTACTTACAGATGGACTTTTGGGTAGGCCAACTCTTTGACCGCATGTCGTCAGTAAATTGACTAGGCATTCTCTGACTCGACTCTGTGAATGAAACAAACAAATATGAATTCAAGTAATATTCTTTGATAAACAAGCGCACATTTTTAGTATTTCCTATAAGTTTTTTAAAATTGGTAATTGGAGACAATTTAAGGATTATGTAATAATTAGGGTTGCAACGATATATCGGAATATCGATAATATCGAGACCAAAATATCGATATTTAATATTCACTGATATCGATGATATCGATATCGTTATTTCCAAAATATCGATATTTCGTAGTCTAAATTTGAACACAATAATATCAATTAATTTACCTGCTATGAATATCTAAATTGAATAATATCGAAATAACTATTACTTTGAAATCGCAAGAGCTTATAGATGTATTAAAAAAATCTTGAACCCCAAGAAATATACTAAACTGGTGTGGATTCTGGCGTGATTCTCTAAACCTAAAATTAAATTTGATAACAGTGTATCCTTGTCATTCTCTATACAGAATGAAAAGGAGAGACTGATGTTAAATTTAGTTTTAAGTTTAGATAATCATGCCAGAATCGACACCAACGTATATCGGTATAATCGTATACCTAATGGTAACTCATGCACTTAAATAAAATCCTTGCCTCTCTTTCTAGATAATTGTCAACTAGTGATTAATTGAAATTTAATATCATTGTAATATAACACAAAATAAAATTAAGAATCTTATACAAATCGTAAATTTTTTAAGCTCGCCAAGTCAAGAAAGTAAGATAGGTATAGTAATTTTGGAAGCTTTGGGCTTACCCTATTCTGAAGCCATGGGCACGCCCCTGATGTGTAGGTTTTACTAATACATAACAATTGTTATTCATATGATTATCTATTCTGATTTTGGCTGCGTGCAAACATTTTAAACAAAATAAATATCTTTGATTCGAAATTGCTTTTGATTTGATACTTCTTACAGCGCTATAAAAATATAGAAAATATCGTGTTGGAAATGTTGGAATGGCTGATATATCGGATCGGATATCGATATTTACCTGCCCACATTATAAATATCGATATTTGGGAAACCTTTGCTTCCTTAATTATAGGTTTTTGCTTTGCAAACTTAATACAAAGCAAAAAAAAAAAGAAAAAATATCGATATATCGATAATATCGAGTTAAAATGGTCGATATATCGGATATCGATATTTTCCTGACTTCGATATAAATATCGATATTTCAAAAGACTTTGCATCCCTAGTAATAATAACAAAAATAGGTTGATTAAGTAGTTTCGACCAATGATATTTTTTTTACGTGTTTGTTAGATTTACTTTAGTTTACGTCTAACTTTTATTAAAAAAAAATAATTGGAATCAATATAAGTACTTGCTTGTCTGAAATAAAATACAAGAATAAAGGCAGCGCATCAAGAATATATCCCGCTATCGCCCCTGAACCAAAGCCCGGGACGGTATCACCGCCCATTACAGCAGACGTCAACCCTGATGTAGATACTTTAGCTCCTATAAGACTCGCCAGCGACATCAACAGCCGCTTCCACCTTGAAGCGAGCGCGTCAGCAGGCGATAGCGGTTATCCCCGCTCCCGCTATCGCCCCTGAGCCGAAGTCTGGGACGAGATCACAGCCCACTACTGTAGACGTCAAACCTGATGTAGATACTTTAGTTCCTATAAGACTCGCCTGCGACATCCACGGCCGCTTCCACCTTGAAGCGAGCGCATCAGCAGGCGATAGCGATAGCGATTATCCCCGCTCCCGCTATCGCCCCTGAGCCGAAGTCTGGGACGAGATCACAGCCCACTACTGTAGACGTCAAACCTGATGTAGATACTTTAGTTCCTATAAGACTCGCCTGCGACATCCACGGCCGCTTCCACCTTGAAGCGAGCGCATCAGCAGGCGATAGCGATAGCGATTATCCCCGCTCCCGCTATCGCCCCTGAGCCGAAGTCTGGGACGAGATCACAGCCCACTACTGTAGACGTCAAACCTGATGTAGATACTTTAGTTCCTATAAGACTCGCCTGCGACATCCACGGCCGCTTCCACCTTGAAGCGAGCGCATCAGCAGGCGATAGCGATAGCGATTATCCCCGCTCCCGCTATCGCCCCTGAGCCGAAGTCTGGGACGAGATCACAGCCCACTACTGCAGACGTCAAACCTGATATAGATACTTTAGCTTCTATAAGACTCGCCTGCGACATCCACGGCCGCTTCCAGCCTGAAGCGAGCGTGTCAGCAGGCGATAGCGATAGCGATCGACCCCGCTCCCGCTATCGCCTCTGAGCCGAAGTCTGGGATGGTATCACCGCCCACTACTGCAGACGTCAACCCTGATGTAGATACTTTAGCTTCTATAAGACTCGCCTGCGACATCCACGGCCGCTTCCAGCCTGAAGCGAGCGCGTCAGCAGGCGATAGCGATAGCGATCGTCGCGGTGACGTCGCCGACGTCGGTTGCCCCACTCCAGCGCCCCCTCCCACTATCGTCCCCACTCCCGCTATCGTCCCAGAGCCGACGCCCGGGACGGCATCACCGCCCACTACTGTTGATGCCGATCCTGATGCCGACGCCGACGCTGATGACCCTATAACGCATATCAAGGATGAGGCAAGGTTTTCTGGAATGTCGGGCGCCAGATGGGAGCACTGAGACAAAAGGTCTACTCATCCGTCAAATCGTTCATGGATCAATTTAAAAGCTAGTTCAATTAATTCGCGTTGAAAGTTTCATATGAAAGACCTCTTGTCACAGTGGCGCATACTGATGAGTTAAATTTCCTAAACATTCTCATTGGTCAGAATATATGGCGTGTATATTTTAAGCAATGCCATTGATCAGTTAATTAGTACATGAATGAATTTGAAAGTTTAAAACAACGTTGAGTACAACGCTGCATTAAATAAAGAAGAATAAACTAATATGACCATAGTACAGCATATACTTGACATCCTATACAAAATTCTCTTATAGTACAGAAAATACTAATTGCAAATAGTTAAATAAAACATATACACTATTGTTTCGATGCAGGACGCTCGTAATACTGTCATTATAAAATCTGTACTAGGTCGCTGCGTCACTGATTGCTTTTAGGAGGGCTCTGCTATCAAGCATTGATGGTGAAACTTGATTATGGTTAATTTTAATGCTTGTTTATATACCTGGTTTGTATATTTACTAATATTGTCAGACATATGAGGCGACTACGCCTATACGGATCCCGAAGAGATGGCTTCAAATATTGTCATGTCATCCACGAAACAAAGGAGCTTGGAATGCTGGAAACATGCGTCAATGACGAGAGGGCTTAAGAGCGAACCTTGAGGAACAATCCTGGGTGTTAGTGATCCAGCTGTAGATATAATTACTTATAACTTTTGCCTGGGATCTATTAGCTTTATATGATGCGAACCATCTCGGAAGATACCTATGCCTTCCAATTTAAATATTAACAATTTGTGATCTATTCTATCGAATCATTTACTATAGTCAGTAAATACCACATTAGTATGGATTCCCAAGTGCAATAAAATCGTTAAATAGAATGAGATTGAATGCAGTGGATCGTCCCTGAAGAAAGTCATGATGGGAGCTTATAAAATGATTGGATAAATTTAGTTCAAAATTACTTTTTCAAATAGTTCCTAACCTAACCTAACCTAAGATACATAGTTTAGAGATAGAGATAGAAGAGATAGAGTAGAGCGATATACCTATGTCTGATTTAATACCTTTTTATGAATTGGTGTTATAAAGGCGGATTCCCAAACCGACGGCATATGACATTCCGAAAGAGACTTCTTGAATAATAGATATGTTACGTGTAAAAATGAAAAATAAATAAATAAATTATGAATATTTAAATTACAAAACATATCTGTTTAAATAAACCTGTTTTAAAGGGTTTACCTTTGTCTGGCGTCGCAGTGGAAGGCGTGGAGGTAGACAGCGAACTGGGACCAGTCGCTGGGTGTGATCCCGCTTTGGGCAAGTATTTTCGACCAATCACAGGCGTCTGAGATAAGTCAAATGTGAACTCCATTGTGCGACCAGGCAGCTCCTAAACAATAAACAAATAAAGCTCTTTGAATCATGGTTTTGCCTCGATATTTAAGTAACCCAGCGCTTTCAATGACTTTCACGGGCTAAGAGGCGTTTTCCTTTCTCGTAAAAATCAAACAATTTCAAGCGAATTAGTGCGTAAGCGGAACAAAATTCAATTTGTTCGATTTTACAAACAGAGAAATACCAATGAGTGAATGATTTTTTACCGGCCTGCAGAAATGCCTCTTCACGCCACTTTTAAAGGACCCCAGATTGTAGTAAGGAGGCAACACATGCGCGGGCAAAGAATTCCATTTGCGAAAAGTTCGACTAAGAAATGAGCCACAAAATTTTGAATTTATTTTATAGGGTTCTGTACCGAAAGGCTAAAAACAGGGAGCTATTATTAAGATTCCACTGTGACCGCCGATCATCAGGCTGTATCTCATGAACCAAGACAGCTAGACAGCTGAAATTTTCATAGATCGTGTATTTCTGTTGCTGTTATACAGCAACAGAAATTGCTGTATAACAGCAACAGAAATACACGAAATTTTTGAAGGTCCCATTTTTAGGGTTTTCGCATATATCTCGGAAACTATGCATCCTAGCGACATGAGACTGTAACAAAAGTGAAAGCTGATTAAATTTGCTACAAGTCTTATTCAGTCAAGTTTTTTGATATCTTGTATAGTTTTCGAGATATCCGCTCTTAAAAGTCTGTAATTATGTAAAAAAAAATGCTTCACATTTTTGCTCTATTTGACAGGATAACTCTTCAACAATGCCGGCCGTAGGGTTGTTGGTTCCACCAGTGAGCAGCATGCAGATTTCGGACAAGCCCGCCAAAACAAGGATGGAGCTGACATTGCCAAGCTCACCGATTGGTTTGAGAAATTTCCTCCCTTCCCAGAGACCAGAAACATTATCAAGTCACCAGAAATCCAGAAAGCAGCAGCGGTCTTTTCACACCCTTTCTCCACCGT